CATGCCAACAGGCTAGGATATCTGCTGTACAAGTCGGGTCGAGAAGAAGATCATTTTTGTTTTCTCGCCAAAGCTGACGCTCAAATTTGACAAAACCCGCTGGTCTTTCGACTATCGCTTTTGCTCTGTTTGCTTGTCTGCCGTGTTGGTTAGTCGCTGTGTTCTCTTGTGTGTGTGTGTCTGTGTGAATGGAACATTTTCGTGTTGAGCCGGAACATGATTTGTCTACAGCGAATGCTTTGCCCCCAAGACTGACTTAATACAAAATGTAAATACACAACCGAACACGCACACACACATACAAATGCATGCATGTACACAACTTGTCGGCACAATCAAGTACGTCGGAGGGCAATTGATGAGTTAGGATGGCGCCATGACAGCGACTGGATAATCCAAGGGTCAATCCAGACGCTAAACGATTGTGGGTTCGGCGATTTCGCCCAAAAAAGATTAGCTGACATACAAACAAACGACAAATGCGGACGGCTTGACTGTTCCGGGATATTTAATGCAGAGATTGACCTTCGCAGGTATCCATCGCCAAATCACACAAACGTTGCAGTTTCATGTGGCTTACGATTGTGTCCGAAAGGCGGAGCAAAGCGGATTGTCGACTCATTCGAAGCTGACATGACGAATCGCTCCATCTCCTGATCTGGCTCCTCCTACCAGAGGCTAGCATATTTACGGAATTTTATATATCAATTTTTTTCGAATGTATCAGGCAGAGAGATAGATTCCGAACTATATATTTACATATAATATTAATCTAAATAAATGATTATGTATACATACATGAAGTTGGCCAAACAGCTGAATAGTCATTATAAAAAGAGGTACCAACTATATATAGATAAATATATACATAATTATAATATACTATATATATCTTATTTATCCTAATACTATTATTAGAGGAATTTAATTATATATAAATTATATATATATATATGAGGTAGCTATTACCCAAGTGGTAGATAGATAGACAAATTCAGACATAAATAAATTATTAGTGATGATAAATATGATATAATAAAATGCCTCTAATAATAGTATTAAGATAAATAAGATATACATAGTATATTATAATTATATATACTATATATATAAATAGTATATAGTATATATATATATATATATATATATATATACATGGCTTGTCTGCCACGTTGGTTAGTCTCTGTGTTCTCTTACATGTGTGTGAATTGAACACTTACGTGTTGAGCCGGAACATGATTTGTCTACAGCCAATCGTTTGCCCTCAAGACTGACTTAATACAAAATGTAAATACACAACCGAATACAAACCGAATGCATACATGTAGTAATGATAAATTAGATATAATAAAATTCCTCTAAATATAGTATTAGTATAAATAAGATATACATAATATATTATAATTATATATATATATATAAGATAAGATAAATAAGATATTCATAGTATATTATAATTATATATATATACTATACTATGTATATCTCATTTATCCTAACACTATTATTAGAGTCATTTTATTATATCTAATTTATCATTACTAATCATTTATTTATGTCTGAATCTGTCTATATATATATATATATATATAATTATATAAATTAGTTATAATTAAATGCCTCTAATAATAGTATTAGGATAAATAAGATATACATAGTATATTATAATTATGTATATATATATCTATATATGGTTGGTACCTCTTTTTATAATGACTATTCAGCTGTTTGGCCAACTTCATATATGTATATATAATCATTTATTTAGATTAATATTATATGTAAATATATAGTTAGGAATCTATCTCTCTACCTACAACCTCACCTACCTCATATCTAATGAACCACCCCTGCGTATATGTGCACATGATGTGCATTAAGCACACTTATCAGCTACTCTACTTTGTCATGGTATGATCTCTCCATTTTATCGGTGAGTTCAGTTTCGCATCCATCGGCTTGTTTGCTTGTTATTCCACTTATCTGGCCTTCTGTCTTCATCCAGGCCGTGCAATATCTTGGTTTATTTGCGCTTCTGCCTCGACGTCTCTTTGGTTAGCAGCGCATCATTCAATGTTTACTCGAAGGCATTCGACATCCAAGTACCACATGTGACACGGTGGCTGGTGGCCCTCTTTAAACTTTTGCATTCCGATTACACCTGATCCACCGAGGCTGATGATGATGATAATGATGATGATGCTGATGCCACAAACTAGTGAGTTGAGTAACAAATTGTACATGTTATTGTGTGTATGATTGTGTGTGTGTGTGTGTAGAGAGCGATTTTGTGGGGAGGCCTGTGCAAACCAGCCGACCGGGGTCAAGGCCTGACTTTCTGGTGTGTTGAGCAGACCACCGGCCGGCTCACATGTACCCCATCGCCTCAAATCCGACATGTACAGCCCGAATCCTGATGACTGTTCGGCCTGTACCCGCTCGTGCGGTCATCGCCATCTGCCTCAATCAGACTGGCATGTCTCGGGGCCAGAGGAGAGAGCAGATGAGACATGGCGTAATCGGCTTCTGTTCATTCATCGCTCTTTGCGTCGGGGGTGGCAGCAGTTGTTGGTGTCTGGCGATCGCCAACTCTGTCAGATCGTGACGTCACAGTCCAATTGGTACCACCTTTCTGGGTCCGACTGGAATGGAACCACTAGAACCAAGTTGTTCCATTCTTCCCCTTTCTCCATACCTCTTTATGCCCTCTGTCTGTCTGCATAAAATCTACGTCCGTCTGATGC